CTGTCAACCACACACCCAGGCAGATGTTAAGTGTTTTCAGATTTAAATGCTGAATGATACTGTACACCTGTCTAAGTCTTTACCTGTTTTCCTGACTTCTTTTGTGTTTGACCTTGGTAAGTTCTGGTCTTTCTGATACCTGGTCTCTTTGGTTTGAGGCTTTCTATGTCATCTTGTTCTTCCAGACCTGTTCCCTATAACAAGTTGTTTCTCCTTCAATGGGCAGAGGAAAGAGTCTCATCTTGACTGACCCAACTTTGAGAAGGAGCCAATGAAGAACCAGCAAGGAGATGTGTTCAATGCCAAATATGAGAATTCCAGGGCATTTTGATGACTGCATGAAGCTATGGAACAGGGTATTTAAAACCTGAACTGTCCTGGAAATGTAGGACATATGCACATAGTAACCTGTTTTCAAGCAGCTTGCAAACTGTGGAGACAAGATGTGAACTTCTAAAAAGATCACTGTCAATACCAAAATATAGATTATAAATGCCAAATGGGTGGTATGGCTAACATTAATTCTGTAGTGTGAAAATGGGGAGGGCAGGTTTTCAAGGTGGAAAACAGAGCTTAAACTGTGTCTTCAGGTGTGTGGGGGATTTGGAGAAGTGAGAAGGAGGCAGTGAGGAATCTAAGAGATTATGACATGTGTAGGAGAGCCAGGCACATTCAGGCATGCATGCATTGGGAACCATGTTACAGGGCAGGGATGGGGATCATGGACAAAATGTTGAGGGCTCTGGGCTGCAAAGCTGGTTTAATGCTTAAAGAACATTAGGGAGAATGGCTCTGGAGTACAGAGTGACAGAAACCTAAAAAAGCAGCTGGGGCCAAATTAGGAAAGGTCTTAACTATTAGGCAAAGGGGTTCAGACTTAATGCAGTAGACAAATGGGGAAGGTAGGTACCTCAGATGATCTGAGCAAAAGAAGAGGAAGTAAATGCAAAGTTGTACTAACAGTGGGACAGATGATTTGACAGAGTCCACTGCAGTCATCTGGGTATAAAGAAGCAATAGGATTTCTGGTCAAGATGAAGGCATAGGTAGGCACACTTGTCCTCCTTGCACAATCATAGAAAGAATTACAACCAGAACTCAAAACTAATAACACCCAGAACTGTCAGAAAATTGAGATGTGTAGTAGTCAAACCACCAAGGATTTAAATAAGACACATTCATCCAGACAAGTAGGAGGGGCTGAGTCACGGAGACAGGCAGAGAGGTGGTGTGGTGCCGAAAGGTGGTGGTTACAGTAGTGGTGGCAGAGGCAGTGAAATAGCCAGGAGGGATACCTAGTGAAACGCAAAAGATTTATACGATGTGAAGAGAAATCAGTGTATGAGGGAGAGATACCTGAGGATCAACAAATCCCAGCCCCAGACTAGAACACACAGTCCAGGGTTCCAGCACCAGGAAGATAGATCCCTATTACCTCTGGCTGTAAAAACTAGTGGGGGTTGAGGCAGCAGAAGAAACTGCCACATTTTTCTGCTTAAAGGGCCAGTACAGTATTAGAACATTAACAAACCCACCCACTCCAGGATTCAGCACCAGGAAGAAGATGGAAGGGCACCAGTCACACTTGGGAAGGGAGTGAAGTGACTGGAAATGGAGCAAGCACAGGAGAACCTCCAGAAGCCAGGTGGCAGCATTGTCCTCCCTCCAAGACCTCCCCACACATCCACTTAGTGGGGAAGCAAGGAATCACCCCTGACAAATTACCTAGGGCTCCTCCCCACACTATTTACAAGTGCCTTTTCTACATAGGCCACACTGTTAAGACAGGGAGTAAAAGTGCTCTACCTAATACACAGAAAACAAACACAGAGAGGCTGCTAAATTGAGGAGTCAAAGAAATATGGCCCAAATGAAAGAACACAACAAAACCCAAGAAAAACAACTAAGCAAAATGGAAATAGCCAACCTATCAGATGCAGAGTTCACAACACTGGCTATCAGGATGATCAGAGAACTCCTTGAGTATGACAAAAAAATAAAGGAAGAAATGAAGATTACACTAAGTGAAATAAAGAATAATCCATAGCCCTGGCTGGCGTAGCTCATAGCCCTGGCTGGCGTAGCTCAGTGGGTTGAGCGCGGGCTGCGAACCAAAGCATCGCAGGTTCGATTCCCAGTCAGGGCACATGCCTGGGTTGCAGGCCACGGCCCCCAGCAACCGCACATTGGTGTCTCTCTCTCTCTTTCTCCCTCCCTTCCCTCTCTAAAAATAAATAAATAAAATTAAAAAAAAAAAGAATAATCCAACAGAGAAGAGAAGAAAGCTGGGATTCAAACCAACAATTTAGAACATAAGGAGAGAGATAAGCATTCAACCAGAACAAAAAAAAAGAAACAAGAATTAAAATAAAAAAAAACAAGGATAGGTTTAGGAACCTCTGGGACATCTCCAAACATGCCAACATCCAAATCATAGGGATGCCAGAAGGAGAAAAGGAAGAGCAAGAAATTGAAAACTTATTTGAAAAAATAATGAAAGAAAACTTCCCTAATTTGGTGCAGGAAGTAGAAATACGAGTCCAGGGATTACAGAGAGTCCCAAACAAGTTGGAACCAAAGAGGACCACAAGCCACATCATAATAAAATGCCAAAAGTTAAAGATAAACAGAGAATCTTTAAAGCAGCAAGAGCAAAGGAGTTTCCATAAGACTGTTGGCTGATTTCTCAAAAGAAACTTTGCAGGCCAGAAGGGTCTAGCAAGAAGTATTCCAAGTGATGAAAAGCAAGGACATACAACCTAGATTACTCTATCCAGCAAAGCTATCATTTAGAATGAAAGTTCAAATAAAGTGCTGCCGAGACAAGGCAAAACTAAAGGAGTACATCACCACCAAGTCATTATTATAGGAAATGTTAAAGGGACTTATTTTTTAAAATGAAGAAGATCAAAACCATGGACATTAAAAAGGCAACAAATTCACAGCTATCAACAATTGAATCTAAAAAGAAACAAACAAACTAAGCAAACAACCAGAACAAGAACAGAATCATAGATAGGGAAATCATTGGGAAGGGGAAAGAAGGGAATGGGGAAATGGTGCAGGGATTAAGAAGCATATTTGATAAGAACAAAATAGGCAGGGGGAAGTTAAGAACAGCATAGAAATGTAAAAGCCAAAGAACTTATATGCATGACTCATGGACATGAACTAAGGGGGGGATGGCTGACGGGAAGGGGGTTACTGGGTAGAGAGGGGCAAAGGGGGAAAAATTAGGACAACTGTAATAGCATAATCAATAGCCTAGCTGGTGTGGCTCAGTGAATTGAGTGCCAGCTTGCGAACTGAAAGGGCACCGGTTCCATTCCCAGTCAGGGCACATGCCTGGTTGCAGGCCAGGTCCCCAGTTGGGGGCAGGGGGTGGTGATGCCAGAAGCAACAATGTTTCTCTTGCACATTGATGTTTCTCTCCCTCTTTCTTCCCCCTTCCCCTCTCTGTAAAAAATAAATAAATAAAAATAAAATCTTTAAGAAAGTAGCAGCAGCAACGGATCTTGGGACTATACTGAGGAGCAAAGTATAAGAAAAAGTCAAAAAAGGCTATGAGTTTTGTGGGTGGAGTGAGTGATGAAATGATAGTGTCTCTGACAGAATGAGGATCAGGAAGGAGCTGGTTTGGGGGAGGAGAACTGGCCTAGACTGACACTGAGCTTGTGCTTAGCCATCCAACAGGAGGAACAGCATGGGTAGTAGGAGGAGCAGGATGAAAAAGCAGAAGGATAGACTGTGTAGATGTGAAAGTCAACTGTAAAAAAGTAGGCATCAAAATGGACAACATGAATAGGATCTCCCTGAGAAAAGAAAGTGGAGAGGAAAGGGAAGAGGGGTGGACATAGTAAGGGAATGGTGCAGCCGGGGTGGGGGTGGGGGGGAGACATCCAGCCAAGGAGGCAGGGAAGACTGTGTACCTGTCAAAGAAAAGGAGGGGAGACTTCCACCCAGAATAAGGTGGTCAGCAGGGCCAAGAGTGTATGACAAAGAATTTACAGAAGCTATTGGATTGGACTGGATTTATTTAACATACATGTATGTCAGCCCCTGGGATGTTGGTTAGAAGTTACCCCAGTCTTCTAAGAGTGCCAAGCCCAGAGCACACGCCTGCATGTGGAAAAGGGAGATTCTGAGGCTGAAAGCTTCAGTCCACAATGAGAAAGGAGAAAGGGTGGGGAAGGAGGGGAGGACGAGAAAGAGGGAGTGGATGGAAAAATGTATACAGTTGAGAACAGACCACTTACCAAAAAAATAAATAAATAAAGGCATTTAAAGGAAAGCGAGAACTAGAAAAATAACTTGAGACAGAAAAGCCTTGCAAACTTCCCCCACACCATCCACTCATGCACCAAATAGGTGAGACTTGGATATTTCTAGGCTAGAGAAAAAGCATCGCTGTAGACGAGCAGAACTTGTTGAGGGAAGGGAAATTATTTTGGAAGTAAATAAAAGGCAGTCCAATTTCCCAAGAGCCAAGAGGAACCCATTCCCACTAGTTACGAAACACGGCAAAGAGGTAAAATGATGAGAGTCCCAGTGAATGGTTCTGACAGTGTGTAGTTAGAAAATGTGGGAATCTGAAAAGGAGATGGCGTGGAGAGGTGGTATCAGCGAAGGCCTCTTGGACGAGGTGGCTTTCACCTAATTCTTGAAGGATGGGCGGAGAGGAAAGGTCGGGGAATTCCCAGCTACAAGCAAACCGAGCACCGCCCTCCTCAGTTGCTCTCCTCTCGCCCCTCCCAGGCTCCCCTTTCCTTTCCCGCCTCCTTCGGCCTGCGCGCGGGGCTCGGGTTCCCGGCACTGACGTCAGCAGGCGATGACCTCAGCGCGGAGGTGGCGGCAGGGGCAGGTTCCTAGTGAGCTGGAGGAGAAGCGGCGCGGGCTTCGGCCTCGCCCCCATCCGCTGGCGGCGACCAATGAGCGAGGCCACCGGCTACCCCGCCTCTCCGCAGAGTATGAAAGGCGCGTCTTGCCCGCAGCCAGGGTAGAGCCCCAGCCGCGGCAGAGAGGACTTATCCCGCGGAGGGGTACGACCCTCAGAGATCTCTCAAATCTCTCGGCTGCCGCACACCGAACCGCGCACGATATGAGCCAGGTCACCTGGACCGGGAAGACGACAAACATGCTCCCGGAGATCGCAGCAGCAGTCGGCTTCCTCTCCAGCCTCCTCAGGACCCGAGGCTGCGTGAGCGAGCAGAGACTGAAGGTGTTCAGCAGGGCTCTCCAGGAGGCACTAACAGGTGAGCCCACGCCAAGGGGTCCAGGCCGCTCACACCCCGCCACTCGGGCTCAGCCCCCCTCCTTACCTGTCCTCCTTCCCTCTGGGCTCCTCAGCGAACCGCTCCAAGTCTCGGATTCCCTCCGGCCCCGGCGGGGCGGCCCGCAGGTCCCCAGCTCCCTGGTCACCTCTCCCTTCCCAGCCCTGTGCTCAGGTCCTGCTTGATCCGTGGTGATTCTTATGGGACTCAGCGGGCGCAGACTCTTGTCCTGCAGTGCGATTCCGATTCCCCCGGCTTATGCCTGGGAAGAGGGGGTACCTGCGGGTCTGAGTGCGAGCTCATCTTCTCACTGGACTCTGAGACCCTCTTTTGGGAGAGGAAGGTGCGCTCGAGCGTTTTCAGCAACTGGAGTCCCAGGCCGGGTTCTTCCGGCTGTGCGCGCGGCGCTTGTCCTGTATGGGTTGTTGATTTGCTCTAAATTGGAGTCTGGCTCCTTTTGTATTCTGAGTCTAGACCCCTAAGCCATCTGCCACCTATTACGGTGCCGCGAGAGCCTTGTAGGTAGTAACTTTGCTCTGTAGGAGCGTGTGTTGTGGGGTGGGGGCTGCGTGAGACACGGAGGTGTAGAAGAAATAGGCAGCGGCTGGCTAGGGAGAGACCTGTCTCGCAACTGTTTCTAGCCCCTTGGTCGGCCTTGTTGTGCAGCGACAGCCATCTCCGAATGCCCACACAGGTTCTGTCTTCTGAGGAGCAACATATATTTCATTGAAGCAACCCTTTCTGACCCCTTAGCCAGCCACTTGCTAAGGGACTCTTACTTCAAAGGAGGTAGAAGGAGACTCAGGGGCACAGGGTGGGAGGTGCAGTAATTTTCTGTGGATCCAACCATGATGATTGCCTTCCTGGCTGTGAAACTGGAAGTTATGACAAACCACCTTGTTGAGTTGAAGTCACTGAGTCCCTTCCTGTCCTTTATCCCTTCACCGCCACCCCTCCTCCTTTGCAGTAGTAGCACCCCTGGTCCAGCCGCTCTAACCAAGGCATCTCCCCCTTGACCTGTCTCCACAGAGCACTACAAACACCACTGGTTTCCTGAGAAACCATCCAAGGGCTCTGGGTACCGCTGTATCCGCATCAACCACAAGATGGACCCCATCATCAGTAAGGTGGCCAGCCAGATTGGACTCAGCCAGCCCCAACTTCATCAGCTGCTGCCAAGAGAGCTCACTCTGTGGGTTGACCCCTATGAGGTATCCTACCGAATAGGGGAGGATGGCTCTATCTGCATCCTGTATGAGGAGGCCCCGGTGGTCACCTCCTATGGGCTCCTCACCTGCAAGAACCAAATGATGCTGGGCAGGAGCAGCCCCTCCAAGAACTATGTGATGGCTGTCTCCAGTTAGCTCCTCTGCCACCCTCGCCTGCACTCGACTGTACTCATCCTGCGGTGACAACAGGCCACATCATACCTCAACCTGGGGAACTATATTTTAAATGAAGAGATATTTATATGTAATATTTTTTTAAGAAAAGGGGAGGAAAAACACCTAAAGATTTTTTTAAAGAAGAAAAAAATCCTTAAAGGGTGCTGCTTGGAAGCAGCCACCCAGGTGCCTTTGGAGACAACTGTTGTGCACTTCAGTCTGGGAGCCAGTGTCTGCCTGTGGGAGTGGAGAGTGTTTAGAGGTGGGCCTGACCAAGGTGAGGTGAGGGAAGCTTGGCCAGCGCCTCAAGAAGATGTGAGAGGGAGCAAGCAAGGTTAACAGCTGTAAATGAGATAGATCAAGATCTGCCCCGGGAGCTAGGGGGGAGGCTGCTTCAAGTCTGTCACTCTCCCAAACCTGCATCCCTGACCTCATGGACATTCAGGAACTTAACTCATGCTGCCTAATCTTCACTTCTGTTTTTCTGATGAGATCCTGGGCAGAGAATGATTCCTTCTATCCTAAGCAGCTTTTTATAAAATCATCACTAAATTCTATCCCGAGGGTCTTGTAGATGTTGCTTCTCAGCCAGGAATCTAAAGCTTATTGTTTTGTGGGTGTCAGGGGAGTGAGTAAGGCAGGGGTTGCTTTGCAATGTGTTGTTTTGTGTGTACCTGTAGTGAATAATTTGGGGGGTGATTTGCAATGGAATTTTAGGATCCAAAGAGTATCCACTGGGTTTTTTCCTCTTTTTTTTAGGCCAAAATTCTTCTTTTTGGAACCACATGAAAGTCCTAATGCTGCTGCCATTATCCCTTTGAGAGGTGGCTCAAAAGCTATAGGGAACACCAGGTCTTTTATTTTACTGCCTTCTTTTAAAAAAGCACAAAACTCCTCTCTAACTCTCCCCACTTCTTCCCTCTGGTTGAGTCATGGAGCTACCCTATTTTCTAGGACAAGAGTTCTCAGTCACTGTGCAATATGGCTTCCCAGTCCCAGAAGGAGGTAGAAATCTAGCCCTCACAACCTCCTGGTGCTCTGGTGGGCTGAGGGAGCCATCTGTCTCTCTGTCCTCAGAACTGTAGCTGGCTGCTCAGGTATCCCTTGGCTGATGGAGAGAAAGCCCCAAATTCTATAGGATTACTTGGTATTCTTGTAATGCTGACACTAAAACCAAACATTGGGCATTGTTTTTTCTCCCTGGTGCTCAGAGCACCTCTGGGAGAAGTTGCTGACTTCCTCAGTTCAATCCAAGTTTGTCTGTGGATTTGTGCAATATTTACTATTCTGGGTTGGAGAAAAAATGGAAAACTAACTTTGGTTTCTCAGTGACATTAGTGAGGGGTCCTCAGAAGGCCTTGAGCTTTCTAAACCTGAACCACGTTAAAAAGGACATAGCTAGAACATCTGGTCAACCTGGCTACCCTCCTGCCATTGACCTTTATAGTGAGGAATCTCCCCCACCCCCACCCACCACCACTCTTAAAGTCCCCTCTCCATTGCATCCCCCTTTCCTGAGTTTCTTAACTACTCATTCTGACTCAGAGGTGCTATTTAACAAACACTCTCCCAACCCATTCCTGCCTGTTTTGCCTCCTTTTCAATTCTCCAGATCCAAGCTGTTTTCCTAAACTCTGCTTACAATGTTTATTGCTTTAAAGGTAGGTCCGGGCCCACAGACACAGGAGCTTATTTTCTGGCTGGTGGGTTGAAACAAAGCTGTGAATCCCTGAAGATTATGTTGTTGCATTTTGTCTGCAAACAGGTCCCTGCTTTCTTAGAAACAACCTCATGGTCTCATGCTAAATCTTTTCTCTCTTCTCTTCTTTTTGATGTTCACTTTAAAAAAATAAAAATGCCCAGAGCTGAACTGTTGAACAGGCCTGTCTCTCCTATTAGGTAAAAAATAATAGTGCTTGTGTAAGCTATTCTGAAAGAAAAGACAAAGGTTACTAATTGTCAAATAGTGTTTTTATATGGAAGAATGTACAGCTTTATTGACAAATGTACACTTTTTTGTTACTTTAATAAAACTGTAGCAGATGAAGTGTGTGGTGCAGAGAAGGTAAAATGATCACATTGCCAATTTGGGTGTCTTTCTGATCCAAATCCTCTCTTTGTATCTTCAGTTGCACTCTGAAGACCTAAATCATGTGGCTAGAGAAAAGAAACATCTAAGTTGTGTGGTAAGGGCATTTCTAAGCATCCCTTCTTCCTCAGGAAATAGCTCCTTATTTACTTCCTTTAATGCATATTCTAACAGTTGACAGTGTTCTGGTAGCAAAGCACTTAATTCAGCCAGGGCCCATCTTACACATCCTGTTGTTGTGAGGCCTTAGTTGTATTCACTCCTTTCGTTTAGCAAGAATATATTGTCAGTAAGTTCTGGGCACTAGAAATATTAAAGGTGATTATGACACACAGCTTGTCTTCTCACAGACTGAGGTGGTGAGCAGGAGACATCGAACCCTTTCCCAGGTTGGGCAGAAATTGTTAGAAATTACTGGTACAGGCTCTCCTGTCCTCTCTGGAACTACCCTTTGCTGCCCACCAGTCTCATCTTATTAGACAAGAAAAGTCAGACCTCACTAGTGTCCAGTGACATCACAAGTACGTTTTTGACCTGAGCTAGTTTTCTTTAAATGTTCTTGGCCATAGGTGCTGTCTTTACATTTTAAACATGTTGACTCATGAACACTGAGACCCAGCCCCTCAACACACACATTTTATTTCACACCTCCACAACTCTCCTCAACAAGCTTGTAGTTTAACCTAGGTGTCCTAGGTGGCAGGGGCCTTGGAGGCTCTCTGTGATACACTTGGAGAGTAGGTGAGTCGGGATATGTAGATGGGGAAAGCCAGCTTATATGTATCATAAATAGAACTGGCTATGGAGACCCACTTGTGTTGAGGGGTTATTTAAATAAATGTTCCCATTTTCATTTGTAGCTCCTAATACAAATGTCCTAGGCACAATAAGGATCCACGTTTTTGGGTGTAAGGACCCAGGATTAAGGTTGAATTTTTGCCCATCCAAGAGCGCTATTTTCTTTTTTGGTACAAAGTCAGCATCTACCTTGTTTCTTAATAGGCTCACTTAAGAAGAATATTTCACTCAGTAGAAAGCCTGAAATTCACCAAACCTTGTCTAGAGGGTAATGGGACATCATCACACATCCCTGTCTCCAAGCCAGGGAAACTGCAGAGTGGCAGGTTCATCTTGCAGTTTTTCTTGGCTCTTGGCAGACTAAATAGTCCCTCAATTTACATGAAAGGGGTCTGTGATCAAGGAATATGTTACTTGCATTAGATCTGACCAGATTCACTATAGGTGGAGAGTGCCACCTAGCCAGCTGAGGTACAGGAGCAGTCCCCAGAGTTGTAAGTAGCTTCATGTGTCAGGGACTGAGCTTTAGTTGGTCATTCTGCTCCCAGCTTCTCCAGTTGGTAAACAGTGCCAGCCTGACTGAGCACTGGGAGACCTGTGCTCAGTCAGCTGTTTGTGGATGATAATGCACCTCCCAAAGAGTGTAGACAAGGCCCTGGGAGCTGCAGATTAAGAGCCCATCCTGGCTCCTGATAAGAAGCTTTGGGTGGATGAGTCCAGGATGCTTCAATAACAAGCCCAGGAGGAAGAAACCCACTTCTGTGAGTCTGAAATCTAATCCTTTAGGAAACTTTGGTAAGAGAAGATAGGCTTCTTGGCTTCCAGGCCAGTGCCAGCACCCCTACTCAACAAAGCATAGAACACTAGAGAGTTCGGGACTGGCAGGGAGAATATATGGGTGGTAGTCTAGATTCTTCTTCCTAACCAGCTGTGTTTGGATAAGCCCCACAATTTTCCTGTCTCAGAAATTAGGGGTTTGGTTTAAATGACTTCTGTTCCTTTCTTCAGCTTTTGATTCTAAATCATCTCCATTATCCTAGCAATCACTGTAGGGTAAATTAGCACAATGATTATCATCATTTTCAATTAGGTGAATTGAAAGGGTTTTTTTGGGCTGGGAAGTACAAGAATAATCTTCTCTGGTTTGTATCACACTCCTGCCTGATAAGTTTTCAGTGCCCAAGGTAGTGAGGCAGCTGCATACAGATGAGGCGCTCAGGCTCTGGTGTGAGGCTGTCTGAGGGAATCTCACCAGCTCTACCACCTGCCTACAGGCTGTGCAACCCAGGCCAAGTCCCTTCATCAACCAGGCCTCCATTTCTCCATTTGTAAAAGTGGATTAAGAATAGAATCCATCTCATAATCTTGTTTTGAGTTTTAAATGAGATCAATGAACTACTTAGAATTAGTGCTTTTCACATTTAAGTACACAATAAATGAGAATTATAGTTTTAAGTCAAAGTTAACCTCATCTCTCCTAGGTGCTCCAAATTGGTCCTGACATGACTAAGGACACTCTGGCACTCTGATAACTGGAAGGAAACCATCATTAAAGTAATAGTTCCTACTAGCACCTTCCAAAGTGGCTATAGTTAACACCTTCCAAGCAAGTCTGTGTCTTCTTCTCCCATAGATGACTTTCAATCCTTTGTTTAAAAACTTCACAGTCCCAAAACCCATCCTAGTGTTATATGTAGCCCATAAGAACCAGCTGAATGAATGAATTCATGTCTGACCTCTGCCATCCTTGCTGAAATGTATGGTGTCCTGGCCAGACAATTGATCTTGTTGACCACAGAGCAATTTTGACCTGCTGGTTCCACGGTCTGCTTGTGGATTAATACCAAACTGGGATACATGCTCATTCACACACAAAGTGGGCAGGAAAGGGATTTTCTAACAACAACTTTGCTTACCTCCATTCTGCCCAACTGTGGAATCATACCCACCCTCTTTCCCTTCCCAGAAGAGAGAAATGATGAAGCTGAAAATGACGTAAGCTTGATGATTTCTGGCTTTCTCTCTATATCATTTCTTTACAGAACTGGCAAGAAAAACATTTGAGCTCAGTCTAAGAGGCTAATAAGGCCCTGGATAACCATCTTGTGCAAACAAGTGTACCCCAGATGTGCAGCCAGTCCTATCCTCTGCTTTGATAGGAGCCTGGTTCTCTGGCCCCGGCAACTCCAAGTCATTTTGTTCCCAGCTGACACCTAGCTCTACCACTCCCCACCATCAGTCCCATACACAAGAACAGGCCTTTATTCAACCCTTGTCCAATAAACCTGACAGGCCACCCAGAGCACGTCAGATAAGAGGGGTGTAGCTGGGCAGGTTGAAGCAATGGTGACTTTATTTACCACCATGAGCAGGGAGGAGCTGCTTAAAGTTCAGTGAGCACCAGGTGATAGAAGGTGGGGCCAGGAAATCAGTGAGTAAGGATGGCTGGACAGAGGCTGTGCTAAACTTGGGGAACAAGCTCAAGCCTTGTCTGAACACCCCCTGTCCAACCCCACTTCACTCCTTAGCTCTAGTCCACTGTCATCCTAGGAGACTGGTGATACAAGATATTGTGATTTTTCTAGAGAAACCTGAAATATACTTTTATTTGATATCTCCCTAAATTCCAATAATGGCAACTATTTTTAAGTGTTAGACATGTTTTTTAAAGTACATATCTTCATAGGCCCCCATTCTGTGACCTATGATGCAGCTGGAACCTCTTGAATGTGGGGATGTGGGGGTTTTCGAGATGCCCCCTCTCCCACACTCACATTAGGAAGGAGGCTCTAACCATGGCCATGGCCTCAGGAATAAGCATCCAGCATGTTCCTGATAGAACCAAAGGCACACGCGGGGCCTATGCTTCTCCAAAAAGATTCAACTGGAAGCAGCTCTCCCCCCTCTCATCCAGCTGGTGTTCATTAACCTGTACCTGGGAGTGCAGACTCTGGGCCTTTGCTCAAGGAATGCCCTGCCTGCTTTCTACCCACTCACTTTTGTCTGGTTGACTCATCTCTCAAGATTCAGACCATCTCTTCCAGACACCTTTCCACTGGCATCTCTCCCTTCCCCCATGGTTATTCCCATGATACTCAGTTCTTTCCTCTGTCCTTGTCCTTATAACTGAATTTTAGCTAAAATGCAGACCCCAGACCCTGCCAAGCAGTATCTGGTGCTTCATAGGTGTTAATGAATATGATGAATATTCAGGTTGAATAAATGTCAAGAATAAAGGCCTAATAGATGAAAGGGATTTAAATCAGGTAGAAGAAAAACCAATCAGGTCAATTCAGGATCTGCCAGTGAGGAATCCCAGCTCACAATAGCCAACCTGTGGACTGTACCTTGTTAAGAAAATGATCTTTAATATCTTGCAGGCCATTCTGCCTTTAAGCACCTGCTATTAAATGTAAATGTAACTTATGGAGGAGTGGACACACTTTAAATCATAATGTAAGAGAACTTTAGTTATCAATTAACTTCCTAAGTAGGTTTACCCAGAAGGTAATTGCATGGAGAAAAAAAGGCTAGATTATCAGGAAGGCACTCTAACAGAAGTGGCAGGAAAAAGACTCCACAGCTACTGAACACTGATCCTGTCCACAGGAATCATCCTTCCTACTGACTACTTGGGAGGCCACTGTAGGGGGAGGTGGAGTGCAAGTAGCTCTGGGCTTAGAAATTGAGGAGTAGGGAGCCTAGCTTCAGGCCTAACAATAATTAGTAATAGATGTCTTTGACATCCTGGACTAGCTCCTTCTGCTTGTGAGCTTCTACTGTTTTGTCATCTGTAAATTGAGTCACTTGTGGCCCTGGCCAGTGTGGCTCAGTTTGTTGGAGTGCCGTCCTGTAACAGAAAGTTTACGCGTTCAATCCCAGAGAACATACCGGGGTTGCAGTTTTGATCCCTGGTCAGGGCACATGTGGGAGGTGACCAATCAATGCTTCTCTGTGACATTGATGTTTCTCTCCCTTCTTCTCTTGAGTGAGGATAAAAAAAATCTCCTCAGTTGAGTATGACAAAATAAAAATAATATAAAATAAAATGAGGCGCTTGTGCTAAACCATCTCTCACCATTCCATTTCCATTTTCAGTTGGAACAAGAAAATCCCTGCTTTTTTTGTTCCATTTCTGTCCAGCACATAGTCCTCAGCCT